ATGATAATATATTTAAAGAATGATCTATGAGAGCCAGGAGGGATACTCAAAATTACCTAATCAGCCTTTTGAAACAAAAAGAAACAGACCCTGAGAAAGGAAGTGACTTGCTCAAGGTTACCCTGTATTTTCAAAATAGAAATAGGCTTGGAAACCTACTTTCCTGAAACTGTATTTCTATAATGCCATGCTAGTTTCATTTAATTTGTGTTTTATTTAATAATCAGCAAATAGGACTTCAGATGCACCCCAAACATAGGCCCAGAGAGACCATGTAATGTAGTGGGAAAAACACTGGCTTAGCCAAAGCCAATGACCTTGGGCAAGTCACTTCATGGCTCGGGACTTCTGTCTTTTCACCTGTAAAATAAGGATAAACTGGATGGAATTAAAGTTATAGCTGCTTCTAACATTTTATGAATCTACTAAACTGTTGGCCCAGCCCCACCGAAGAATTTACAAGTACTGGGAGGAGCATACTCTCTGGCTTCTGCTCCCTCCTCTGCACTGTTTCCCTCGGCCTCGGGAAACACTTCCTCCCATTTTCCCCGGCTTCCTTTCTTTTTTACTCAACTTAGCTTTACTCCACTCAACTCAAAACTGGTGGTGTCCTCTTCCATGCTTGGCCTAATTATGGCTCCTCCTCTACACCTGACTCCCCTCACTGCCTTATCACACTGCACTGGAATCACAGATTTTCTTATCTGTGCCATTAGACTGTGAACTAGACCTGGGATTATGGTACGTTTCTGTAGCCCAAGAGCCTATAATGGTGCCTGGTTTATAGTAGAGAGCCAATAAGTGCTAAGATCTAATGATTTTTGCCTGGGATGCAAGGACAAGACAGCGGTACTAATTTCACCTGAAGCTGTTAGAGTTTTCATGGAGGAGCTTACTGGAACTGAGTTTTCAAGAATGATTAGCAGTTGAAAGGAGGTATAAAATAATGATAAAGCTGGAATAACTAAAGTGGGGAAGGTGGCTAGAAGGAGTGGGTCTGATCAGTGTTACTTAATTGAAGCAGAACATCTATATTAGAATCATCTGGGTGCTTACGAAAATTACAGATTCTACCTGTAGCCCCCACCCACCATTCCCCATTCTGAATCTGTAGGTCTGGATTTACTTTCAGAGCAGGCTCCCTAAGTAGGTTCTTATCACCT